GATGGATGGATGGGTAGGTGGGTGGGTGGATGGGTGGAAAGACAGATAACCCACTGCCCCCATGGACCACTTGCTTTGGAAGGTCCTTCTAGACTCTAGAAGAGTGCTCTAGACCTTCTCTTGCTCTTTGGCCACTGTCCGTCCCTCTTGTGAAAGGATACAATACTCTTGAACTCCAGGTGTGGGAACTTTCTCTGTAGCTGGGCCACTCTCCTCAGGGAGCTGGTTCCCACTGCGCTGCTCAGAGAGAGTTTGGAATTAAATTTAACAAGCGCTGCCCCCGTCCTCCACTGTCCGTCCCTCTGTCCTCTGCACAGCAGGCCCCACTCACCTCTTCTCTGGCAAGGTCTCTAGGGTCTTTCCAATAAATTTCGGGTGGAAGACAACAGCGTCACAAGGATTTTCCCGTCTGGAGAGCAAGTGATGACATAAAATTATCTGGAAACAGGGTTTAATTCTAGCCCCAAAACTTACTATGTACCCTAGGCTAGCCTCAAATTCACAATAATCCTCCTGTATCAGCCTCCTGAATGCCGAGATTATAGGTGTGAGCCACCAGGCCTGACTTTATTTTCTTTTTAAAAGGTTTTGTGTTTTGCTTTCTTGATTGTTTAATTAATTAATTAAATGTATTTAGTTTTATTTATTTGTTTATTTATTTAGGTTTTTTCTTTTTTTTTTCTTTTTTGAGACAGGTTTTCTCCGTGTAGTTTTGGTGCCTGTCCTGGATCTCACTCTGTAGACCAGGCTGGCCTCGAACTCACAGAGATTCGCCTGGCTCTGCCTCCCAAGTGCTGGGATTAAAGGGGTGCGCCACCACTGCCCGGCTGATTGTTTTAATTTTTATTTATAGGGTGGGAGAGTATGCATGCCGAGGCATGTGTGTGTCAGTCAGATGGCAACTTACGGGGTCCTATTTTCCCCTCCCCCCACGTGGACCCCAGGGATTAAACTCAGGTCATCAGGCTTGGAAGCAAAAGTCTTTTCCAGCTAAGCCACTGTAAGCTCACCTTCCTGCACCCCACACCTTGAGACACAATCTCCCTGCATTCTCGGGCGGGTTGAAATCACTCTAGCCCAGGCAGGCAGTGACCCTCCGATCCTCCTGCTTTGGCTATCCCTGGTAGCTGAGGTTATGGGCCTGTGCCACTGAGCCCAACTCCGGACACTCTAACTAGCCAACCAATTGGCTTTTCCAGAGTTTTCTGCCATGCTTAATGACGGACAACCTTCACAGCAGAGGGCTACGTGGCCAAGTCCCAAAGGGAAAAAGCCCCAGACCCCTCCCGTGCGTAAGTCCTACTTGCAGATGGCTCCAATGGTAAAGCCGGGAGGTAGTATAGTAGGCACATCCTTCAGCGAATGAACAACCAGGTCCACTCTGGAGACGAGAGGGGAGGACACGGAGAGCCGCTTTGAGGAGTTGACCTTACCCTTCTCCGCCCACCGAGCTTTGACTACAGCTCTTCAGGAAGAGGCCGTCCTAAGACCTAAGGACCTTGAGGCCCTGCTGTCCTCTCAACTCCTACCCCATTTCCCCAGCCAGTCTCCTACTCTAGGCAGTTAGGGGGCTCCCAAACAAGACGCTCTCCTTTGTGGAAGCCTGTGAGCACCTTAGCCTAACCCAACAGTCCCGCTAATATTAGGGAGCCACTCTGGGGTCCTAGCAGGAGACTGGAGGAGCGCCATGCTCTCCCATTCTCACTTACTCATTTTTCTCCAGGGCGTATTCTAGCTCCTTGGTAAACAGGCTCTTCTCTCCAATCTGCCGAAAAGAACCTCAGAGTGACCCCTCTGGGGGAAGAAGTGGGAGAGGGACTGGAAGGGCAGGGATGGGGATGGCCATTACCTTAGAGAGTGCAGTGTCTAGAATTTTGTCCCCTGTGGTAGACATGGCAACTGAGGAGAGAGTCAATGGGGCACCCGTTAATTAGCATCTGTCACCCCTGTGCTAAAATTCACAGTTGGGGTCAGAGGCACAGTAAGTCCCAGCTCCTACCCACTAGGAACACACACGCTAACAGAAAAAGCAGACACGTTCATA